GGTCCTCATCATCAGCAGCATTCATCATCAGCATTCGTCTTGGTCCACAGCATTATCATCATCAGCATTCATTTTGGTCCTCATCATCAGCATCAGCATTCATATTGATCCTCATCATCATCAGCATTTATCATCATCAGCATTCATCATCAGCATCATCAACCTTAAAACTTTAGAAAAGAACTTTTAGTAAATCAATAATAATTAATAATTTTATATAATAAAAAAAAAAAAAAAAAAGAATAATAATAATAATAGGGTATAATAGTTCAATCTATTTGATGGAAGAAATATATTTTCCCTGGCCAGGCAAATATTTTGGAACATCAAATGATTTTACTATTTTCAATATCCTAATAATTAAATTTTCAAATAAAATATAATAAAATATAATAAATATAATATATTTTTTTTTTATAAATAATATATTTATTTTTTACCGTTTTCCTTTTTATTAAAAATAGCTCTTCATGATATAATTTTATTTTTATATAATTTTTAAAATATTTCCTTGAGGTTGTTAATATTTTTATTATTTTTTTATTTCGGTTTTTTTTTAAAATTTTTTTTTTTTAAAATTAAAATCAACTCAGAAAAAGAAGACATTTATAAAATAGAAATTGAAGGAGGTTCCAAAAAGTATAAATCCGAAGTTGTAACAAGAGTTCCAATTAGATCGTTCAATCCCGTTTTTTGATTGGTAAAGAATAGTTTTAGTCGTAAATTTACAGTTTTTTCAAGAAGGTTTAAAATTCATCAACTTAAAAGAGTTCCAAATGGTTTAAAGATTTCCCGCATATTTCATAAATGAACCCAAGATATTTATAGGTTTTCTGTTAGTCAAGATAAATTAGTTTTAAACTTATGCATTTGGCTTATGATATTGGGGGATTTTATGGGTTGTAAAAACAAAAAAATTAAATATAAATTTAAAAGTTAATAAAAAAAAAAAAAAAATAAAAAATAAATAAATAAATAAATAAAAAAATAAACTCTTAATTAATTATATACGATTAGACATAATAGAAGAAAAAGATTTTTTTCGAAGTTGTGCATATAGATTTTATTGTGGAACAATGTATGTTTATGGATGAAGTAAAGTTCCAATATTTTGATAATGACCATGGAAAGTCTTCATGGGCTTATGACACTAATGTTTTACTAAACTAAATCTTGAAATTATAAAAAGCGATACACAACTTACTTTAGAATACTATGCAGATAAAATTAAAGGGTTTCAATCATTTGTCATGACAAATGAAGTTGGCATACAGCAAAGATAGTGAAGCAATATTTAAAAGAGAATAATATACAAGTTGAACCATTACCACCCTACAGTCCAGATATTAATATAATTGAAAATCTTTAGTCAATTTTTAAAGAAATGGTATCAAAAAAAATGTTTCATGACCCATCACAAGACCTAGTTCATGTCAAAATGCATTTCATTCAATTGAAAAATCAATTATAGAATCATATTTTTTTTTTTTTTATTTTAATTTTTATAAAATTTTTTTTTTTTTTTTTTTTTTGATTATTCAAACAAAAATATATAAAAAATTATTATTTACAAATAAAAATATAAAAAAAAAACAAAATGATAATAGATTTTAATTATTTTTAGAAAAAAAAAATTAAAAAAAAATTAAAAAAATTAATTTTGAATTTTTTGAATTTTTTTTTTTATTAAATTTATCATCATTTATTATATGCACTATAATAATAATAATAGCAACATATAATAATAGTAATGATTAATTTTTTTTTTCAAAATGGAAAAACAAAATGATTATAGATTTTAATTATTTTTAGAAAAAAAATTAAAAAAAAATTAAAAAAATTAATTTTACTTTACAGAAAAGAAAAAAGAACAGCTGCACATGTTTGATTTAGTAGAATGTGCATACTCTTTAGATAATATAGAAGCATTGGAGTATTCCTATCAATGAATGTACCAACATTTTTACCAAACTACACAATTAATAATAAAAGTTTTTCAATATCATCAATTAAATCATTAGAATTACTATTAAAATATCGAGTAAATATCATAGAACCATATAGTATCAATATCAATAATAACAATAACAACAATAATAACACAACAGCAGCTTTATCATCATCATCATTCAGTTTAAACAATAGTAATAATAATAATTATAAAACAACAGTAACATTAGCATTCAGTTTAAAAAATAGTTATAGTAATAATAACAACAATACAACAACAGCAGCACCAGAACCTACAACATTCAGTTTAAAAAATAGTAATAGTAACTATAATTTAAATAGTAGTGTTAGTGAATATAGCAATCTAAATAATAATAGTATCAGTTTAGCCCGAAGCGCAAGTTGTAGTAGTATAAGCAGTTGTAATAGTAATGATAGCAATGGGAGTAGCGGTAGTGGTTGCAACAATAAAAACAGTAATAGCTTTTTAATTAATAATGGTAATATAACACTTCCACCACCACCATCATATAGAAATTTAAATAAAGAGAAATCTAATTAAAGAGGAATTAAAATCACCAAATTATATACTACTTCATTTAAAAACATTAAATATCGGTAATATTCAAGATACATTAGATAAGTTTCATTCAAACATATTATAGAATCATAACACACAATATATTAGTAATGATAATAATCATACAATTATTAGATTCATCATAAAACTAAAATAGTTTCAATAATAAAAGCTTTATTTAAACCAACTTAAAATAAATCAAGTCAACTATATTGAAATTTTTCAATCTAATCAAATATTTATATCTATCAAATTTTCTCTGGCCAAGTAAATATGGTAGAACATCGAATAATATTAGATGAAGACAATATTTAGTAATAGAAAGCAAAACCCAGGAAATTAAACCAACTGTCCAGCAATCATTATTAAAGAAGCCTTCTTAGCCGCTGTTTCAAATAAGAAAATTGTTTTTGTTGCCGCTGATGAAAAATTCCGTCCCAAATATTTGTAACACATGATATATTCACCGTTAAATTAGAAACTCTTCTTCCTTCACAAGGCACCTACTCTTTAATGACCCGTTTAAATATTAAAGAAAATCAAGCTAAAATGGATGCTAATTTAGTAGCTGTTAAAAAAGCAATGAAATCCGATGCCGATTGGACCATCGACCAAGAATCATTAGAAACCGTTTACCCACATGTTTCTGTCGATTTAAAAATTAGTTTTGGTCATATTTTTGCAGGTGTTGTCGAAAAAGTTGCAGCCAATCTTGCTAAACGTTGTGCTGATGAAATGGTATTAGAAGCCACCTCAAATCGTACTATTGTTATTAAACACAATGCCACACAAAACGGATATTGGTTATGGTCATTCGAAAACGGTAATTTAGTTATTTCATTCAAATCCATTACCAATACCAACGATGTTCAAACTTTCGATTTAATAAAATTATTATAATTTATAACTTTATAAATAAATTTTTTGATAATAATAATTTTATCGATAATCTGTTAGAAAAATTATTAATCTAGAATATTCATTGTTACAATTTCTTTATTATTATATTTTGGTGATGAAAGAAAAAAATAAAAAAAATATTATAAAAAAATTAAAAAAAAAAAAAAAAAAAAAATAAAATAATTTAATTTTTATTAAATTTTCTAATTTAATAATAATGTAAATATTATAATTATAGTTTCCTTAAGAATTTTATTTTTTGTTTTAAAACATTTTGAATTTTTTAAGACCTTTTTTCCCCAGTTGAAATTATATAATGCATAGTATTTTATAATAAATTTTGAAAAGATGTGATTATTTTTTTGATGAAGTTTACTTTTATTTTAATTTGATCGTTTTAAATAATTGAAACATTGAATGATACGATTTTATTAATAATTTAATGCTTTTTCTATATATATTTTTTTACAAAATAAATAATTTTACTTTTTTATAAAAAATGCCAAATCTAATATATAAAAAAAAAAAAATAAAATGGTAATATAATTTATTATAATAACTTTAATAGTATTAAGGAATCTTTTCATAATTTAAAAACTACTATTAAATAATTTTTTTTATTATAATAATCAACCACACACTTTTTAACCCACTGTTTAATTTTTTTAAAAAAATTTTTTTTAAAAAAATATAAATGCTGCGTGTTTTGTCAATGATTTTTTAAATTTCATTTCTTTTTGTGGCAAAGCATGAAATTTTAATTTTTTAATTTTTTTTTAATTTTCTTTTTTCTTTTTTAGTATTTCGATTATTTTATTTTTTTTTTTAATATACATTTTTTTTATTGTATTTATATTATAAATAGAATTTTTTTTTTTTTTTTATTATTTTAATACAAATAATCATATACATACAAAAAAATCATATAGTTTTATTTTTTTATATTTTTAATCATTCAATAAATTATATCAATAATAATATTTTTTAATTACCATTTAAAAATGAATCAATTAATGATTGTTTTTTATATATTATTAGCTATTATTTTTTCAGTTTATTTAATAAATAAATATTTTGCAATCAATAACAATAACAATAGTAATAACAATAATAATTGCAATAATAATAGCAATATAACCAATACACAACATTATAACAAAATCAACAACAATTTAGCTGATCAAATTCATATTCACCAAAACCCACAGCAATTTGATTCCGCTTGTGCCCCACCAGACCAATTTGACTCCACTTGTTCCCCACCACAGCAATTTGATTCCATTTGTGCCCCACCACATCAATTTGTTTCCACTTGTGCCCCACCACAGCAATTAGATTCCACTTGTGCCCCACCACAGCAATTTGATTCCACTTGTGCCACACCACAGCAATTTGATTCCACTTGTGCCCCACCAGACCAATTTGACACCACTTGTGCCACACCACAGCAATTAGATTCCACTTGTGCCCCACCACAGCAATTTGATTCCACTTGTGCCACACCACAGCAAATAGATTCCATTTGTGCCACACCACAGCAATTTGATTCCATTTGTGCCCCACCACAGCAATCTGATTCCACTTGTGCCCCATCACATCATCAACCAGAATCTCAATTTTTCAACTCAATTTCTTCTCAATTAATTAATACCTCAAATCCACCACCAATTCCATCCACTCCATCTACAATCGCATCAAAAACCTCTGCATCTGTCTATCCATTTGAATCTGAGTCAAGTAACAACTCTGCAGGTTCATCATTATCAAAAAGAAAAACAGTTAGAAAGCCAGTATCAAGTAATATTTCTGCATGCACATCAATTGGCAATCATCCAATGAAGAAGAGACCATTGGAACAAGATAATGAAATAAATAATGGTGATAGACAAATTTCCAAAAAACATAAACTCGAAGATGAAGAGAGTTTAAATATAGTAAAGCAATTTGTAGAAATGGAAATTTTAAAAAAAGAAAGAGAAAGAGAAGAAAAAGAAAAAATGGAAAGACTTAAATTAATAGAAAAAATACAAAGAGAATATAGAGAAAGGGAAGAAATAGAAAGAAACCAAAGTTTAGAAATTGAAAGACAAATAAAAGAAGGATATGAAAGAAAAAGATTAGAAAGAATCCAATTAGAAAGAGAACAAATAGAACAATCAGAAAGATCAAGATTACAAAGAGTTCAAAAAGATAGAGAAAGAGCAGTAAAAATAAGAGAAAGAGAGGAAAGAGAAAGAGCAAGAGAAGAAAGACAAAGAGAAGAAAGAATAAGAGAAGAGAGAGAAAGACAAAGAGAAGAAAGAATCCAAAGGGATATAGAAGAAAGAGAACAATTACAAAGAGAACAATTACAAAGAGAACAATTAGAAAGAGATAATTTGGAAAGTGATCGTTCAGAAAGTGATGACAAATGCACAATTTGTCTTAACACTATAAATATAAATGAAATGGCTACAATTGATTGCCATCATAAATTTTGCTACCAATGCATTGTAAAATGGTCTGAACGTATCAATACATGCCCAAATTGTAGAAAAGAGTTTTATGACATCATAGTAAGTAATTTACACATTCATATTTATACTTAATAAATATATATTAATTAATTTCATTAATATTTTATGCAGAAAGTAGCTAATGAAGAACGTTAAGGTAATGAAGATGAAGATTAAAATGAAGATGATCTTTTAGATATTGAACTCGAAGGCGATTAATTTGATAGTTTTGATAATTCATTCAATGTTTCTTTTTAAGAAATAGGTGAAGACCAAATTATTAATAAAATCGCTCCATTCAATGTTTCAATTATTCAATCGATTAAATTATAGAAAGTCAACTTCATCATCCAAGAAACAAATCACATCTTTATCATCATGTGTATTAAGAAGTCATGTATCTCATTAGTTCAACTTTACAGAATAAAGTTCTAAATTTTCCAAGGTCATATCAAAACAACTCTTAAGGTAACTATAATGTTAATATTAACATAATTATTTTTTATTTTTAAAAATAAAAAAAACTAATATTTAATTTTAATTTTTTTAAGTTAAGTTCCAACTTTTTCTTCAGTGGGTTTTTGTTTACTCTTATTCAAAGTCAACACGTTTCAAGTCGCAAACTATACAATAGGGTTCTTGCTTTTTTCTTTTTCGGTATCTGTTCATTTTAAGTCACAAATTATACAATAGGGTTCTTGCTTTTTTCTTTTCTGATATCTGCTCATTTTAAGTCACGATCAAACACTGGGGTTTTTCTTTTCTTTTTCGGCATCAACATATTATAACACACATATCAAATATTAGGGTTTCTGTTTATTCTTTCCTTTTCAAAGTCAACAAGTTTTAAGTCATAAATTAAACATTGGGGTTTTTTTCTTTTTTGGTATCAGCTCATTTTAAGTCACAATCAAACTGTGGGGGTTTTCTTGTTTCTTTTTCAGTATCAGCTCATTTTATGTCACAAATTAAACATTGGGGCTTTTTAATTATGGTTTTCAAATTGGATTATTCAAACTCAAATTATCCATCTACCATTCAACTGTCTACACCAACGTAATAGGACCAATCAAAATATTTCATTAAAATAAATAATTACAAATCTAAATTTTTATATTTCAACATTAAATCTTTATTTAAAAATAACTCAATTATTAGAGAAAATAAAAAAATAAAGTTTTGTATAATAATTAAAATAAATAATTTTTATTAAAATGTATTTTATAATTTTGTTTTTTTATTCTAAAGGTGGTTATCTACTGTCAATAGTTTATTTACCTATTATGAAATAGAAGCAAGTATATAACACTTTTTCCTATAATTGTAGAGATTAAAAATTATCTTTATTCTCAGTTTTTACCCATTATCGTTATCTTATTCATTTAAAAATTTTTTTTAAAAGTTATCTCTTTTTTTAAAAAAAATTATTCATTTTTATCGATTTTTAATATATTTTTTTTTTTAGTTTTTTTTTAATTATAATCCGCGCTTTTTTTTAAAAATTTTTTTTTTTTGATTTAAATTTTGAATTTTATTAATTATAATATTTTTATTTTCCTTTCATATTATGGTGCTATTTTTCACTTGTGTTGATGCTTATATTCACACCTCTTTAATAATAAAATGACAATATTATATTTCAAAAAAAAAAAACTATAAAAATAAATCATGAAAAACATTATAACACCAATCATTGTTGTTTTTATTTTTTCGTTTTTAATATTATTTTCTTTTTTATTAATAAAAACCTCAACCAATACAAAACCAAAACAAAAGGTCGAATTATTGTTTTTTTTAAAATGGTATTTATTTTAGTTAAACTAAAACCTCAACAAATCCAAATCAAAAAAAAAAGGTAGAATTTTTTTTTACGTTTATTTTTAAAAAAAACATATTATTCTACACATTTTCTAAATTAGCTCTATAAATAGACCCAAAAAATAACTAGAATGCATCAACACTAGGTCTTACAATGCTTTTTAATCTTTCGTTTTTCTTTCTTTTTTTTTTTTAAAAGCAAAGTTTTTTTTTTTTTTTTTTTTTCATTCTAATTAATTAATATAAAATAATTTCTTAAACCTTCTAATATTACCCATAAAAGATTCTACCATTGAAAGTAAAGTTTTTGTGAAAAAAAAAAAAAAATTGTTAAAATAAAATTGAAAATATTTTATAATTTTATGAATTATTATCCTTTTTTTATCTTTTTTTTTTTTTTTTTTATCCACTTTTATCCTTTTTTTTTAAATCTTCCAAGTGATACAAAAAAGGATAACGATAAAGATAATTTTCAACCTCTATATAATTGCTCTATCTGTTTTCAAAGTTACTCTTTTATAAGGACAATTCTTCACGAATCTATGAACATTTTTATTGACCTGCTACCTAGTAAGTATAAAATATCAAAATAATTTGAAGTTTATTGCCAGTCTTATTTCTCCACAATTTTTAGAGGGGTTTATTATTAGAATATAAATTTGTAACAAGATGTGGGTAATTGGAACACAAATAACATTTTTTTCTACCATGTTTATCTGAATTAATCTTGGAGAAGATATTACATTTATTGAAACTCTTTTGTAATGGAACCAGACTGAATTTATTAAAAAATTTCCACCCAAACCCATCCTTTAGGTTGATGAATGTTCAAGTTTTTATTCATTATTATTTATTCTTTAAATATTTATTGATTTTTTAGTTTATAAAAATTAAAAAAATCAAAATTAATTTGGAAAAAAAGAACCACACAATAAAATATTTTACCAATTAAAACAAACTATATATATATTAAAAAGATAAATACTATATTACAAAATGTCAATTATTAGTAAATATATTATAACTATATTTATTTACTAATATTATAAAAAATATAAATTTATATTTAAATATTTAACTATTCAATTTATTTTTTTTTATTTGTTTTTAATTTATTTTTTTAATTTTTCATAGAATCTCTTTCATCAAAGAACCCAGTTAACGGTGCCTCATCTAAATCAATGTTAAGCTCATCTGGAAGTGTCTCATTCTCTGATAATGAATTAGTTTGGTTCGGTAATAGCTTAAGTGGCAGTTCATGTGGTTTCAATCCATGTTTTATTCCATGCAGTGGCGGTAACAGTAACATTATAAATATTGAGATTGATATTGGTCGTCGTCGTAGAGGATGCTGTTAAACTTACTCTAAAATAAACTATATTTATATATATTACCTTAAACTGATTCGAGTAATGATATTTATATTTTATCTATGAAAAAAAAAATAAAAAAAAAAATAAGAATGTTAAATAAGAAATAATAAAAAAAAAAAAAAAAAAAAAAAAAAAAAAAAAAAATAATCAATACTTATTAAAAAAATTTTATTTTATTTTATTTTATTTTATTTTTATTTTTATTTTTAAATTGATTCCAACACCATATTTATATTTATCGAAATTGGGTAAATTGATAATGATGGTCAAACCATTTATTTTTTCCTTTTATTTTCATTATTTAATAGGTGTTTAAATGTTGTGATTTCGTCAAACTTTGTTTGAATTAACATTGTCTATTGATCATTTCACCTGGTTTATTGGAACTCCTCAAATGGTCAGTGAGTTTAGCATTACGATCTTGATATTCGTCCTAAACAAATTCTACATCAATAACCTATTTACATCTATTTTTGAGATCTTTTAAGAGTGATTCTTTGAGGGTTCTAAATTTTAAAAGTTTAAGATTTGTTTGTTCTTTTAAAAGATTTAAATTTTCTTCCATTCTTTGTCTTATCTCCTCTTCGATATTTTCAATTTTCAGTTTTAATTGTGTATTTTCATTTATAACTGTTTCCAAATGAACCTTTTGAGTCAGAAATCTCTAATTTTCTAAGTTGTTCATCCTGTATCATCATTTTTGTTGGAAGCTCGTCATCGAGATTTCTCAGATCTACAACAAACTTTCTATTAATTGTTTGGTTTCTAAAGCTTTTTCCATTGCTAAATTCTCTTTTGCAATTCTATAACTTTCAAATTCATGTTCAGTCTCTTTGATTCTATCACCATTGATTTCTTCTGAAGTATTCAATGTGATGATTGGTGAACTATTAGAACCTGCATTTGAACTACCAACAATAGATTTTTGATTCTACCGCTTTTAATGGATTTATTTTCTGTTTTCTCTTCGAATTCATCAATTTGCTTAGAAACCAATGCTGATGGATCCCCTATATCAGTACGAGAACTCAGTGAAGCTTCTGATATACCAACTGGAGTATCATTACCAATGTTGAAAGATTCTTTACTGAATTTATCTTGAAGAATTGTAATCTCTGATTTAGTATTGTGATTTTCGGATTGAAGACTTTCTTGAGCTAATTCTAATTGTTCTAAAATCTCTCTTCTCCTCTTCTTTTTTAAATAATTGCTTTTCTAATGAAATGTATTTTACTTTTAATACTTGATCGTTTTTCCTAATGGCAGAGGCACTTGAAGCAGATTGTGAACTGGATGAACAAGGGGAATCACCAAAAGATTTCTAACTCCTTAATATAACCTTTGGAAATTTTGATTTCGTTTTCTGCTTTTGATTGGAGAATTTTAAGCTGCACTTTTTTATTGATTAATTTTAGCCTTATTCTTAATGTTTTGATTTTTCCAAAAACTTCTACCTTTTTTAATAAGCCATAAACTTTCTCGAAAAGTATTTATTGAGATAAATTATCATTCGAGGATGCATCCACATCCTCAAATTAGATTTGGGTCAATTTGGTCGAAATAAATACAACATACAATTTTTTTTTCAGGTAGCCTTAGTGCACTACGTTTATATGAGTATTGTCTTGGTCTGGCTGCTATTGCTTCTGGTTGTTTTTGTTACTGTTGTGGCTGTGGTATTATATGATCTCCTACTTTGTATTTATTGGTATGTTCATTTTATTTTGTTTTCTAATTTGTCTCTGAAAGCAGCTTATATCGTTTACTCAATTCTTTAATGATTTGTTCTAACTGGTATTGTTTCTGGTTGTTTTTGTTGTTGATGTTGTTGTATTATTTGATCACCTACTTTGAATTTCTTGATATGCTCATAAGACAGACATTATTTTTATAGTTTGAGAAAATTAGGAATTTGAAGTTTGGGAGATGTTGAAAATATTTTTTAATGGCTATGAACTGCTAGCTGATGATGAACTACTATCTGATGAACTACTATTTGATGAACCACTAGCTGATGATGATTTGCTATCTGATGAACCTCTTGAAGAGTCCTCTAATGGATCTGAAGAGTCTTTCCAGTCTGAAGAGTTACCTGCTATTATACCTGTTGATATGCTGGTTGATCCACTTGTTCATGTGTCACCTGTACCACTTGTGCCACCTGCGGCAGCATCCGCAGCAGTGATGGTCCTGAAAAATGTGAGGCGTTTTATTAATTGTATTAGGACGAATTTGGTGATGTTTGGGTGTGACTGTTATTTCTTAATGAGGACTGCCTTTGGCTTGGCACTAAATTGATTTTTAATTATTATAAAATGTTTTAATATTAGCTTTCTTAAAGGCTTCTAATAACTGAAGACTGATTATTGATTTACTGAGTTAATACTCTTATTTTTTTATATAGATGACTAATTGGGGTATTTAAATATTGTGCTCTATTATTAAATTTATTTTATTGATATTTAAATGTATACTTGATTAGTTTTTTTGAATTATTTGATTGATTGCTAAAATCCTGTTTTGATGATGCTTCAGAACCTAATACTGAAAAGATTTCGGGTAGGTCATATTCTAATATTCACTTTTAGCTGTTAAGACACCATCTACATTATTAAATTGTGGTGGTTAGCTTGATTTATTCTTTATCTTGCATATTTTAATTTAATTAAAGATATGAGAATAAGTTGCAATCTGCATAGGTTTTAATTTTCATTTCTGCAATGAATAAATAACATCTATATACTTGAGCAGTTCAAATACTTGGCAATTCTGATTATAAGTTTGCATTTATAAAGTTGAAAAAATGGTGAGAGATGCCAGTAGAAGGATGAAGCATAATACTATATGAGGATAAAGCAATACTAATTTGTTGTGGATCATTTGTATTGTTTCTTTTACAATAAGATCTAGCTTGTGAATTAAGTTGAATTAAACCTTTCTGTTAAACCTTATGTTTAAGTATGGCAAGCGAAAGTTGGAGTTATTTTAAAGAATTTGTTTATTGGGAACGACGACTTCATTTATGAACCTTGAACCTCTATCAGATACTAAATTCTTTGGGGGTCATATTTTAAATATATTTGATAAGCTAAAACCATTGGACTGTTTCACAATTTGAACAATATTACGAAAGTTGAAGTTTACCCATTTCCTTATCTAAACTATTTGTGTTCTATCATTGTTGCTTGGTCCAAAGCAAATGTATTGAGATTCATATAAATAGTTGATAAGATTGAATATCTTCATTAGTATTTAGTTGGATCTAAGTTTTATCTTTTTTTTGCCAATGTTTTTTTCATACATGATAACTGTGCACTAGCGTCTATAAGAGCTAAACGGTACATCCATTAACGCTTTTGAATTTTTACATGAACTTGCAATTGATTTGAATTTTGCCTTGGCTGATTTACCAGAGATTGAAAGAATTTGAGTTTCTGCGACTTTTTATGATTGTTATTGATATTAATTTTGAAATTATTATTATTATTATTATTGAGCAATAGATCGTGATTGGATTGGTATTTATTATTATTACTTGTAAATAGTATAAAATCTCTTTTAATAGGTTCGCTGTGCATTTGATAAATATTGGCTAAATCTTAATATTATTGATCAAAATCCTTTCATTCATGATATCGACGACAGCAGATACTGTTGGGGTATTGAATGGTTTTAATTGGTAAATCTGCTTTTTTGAATATTAATTAATATAGTCAATTTAGTTTATGTTAGTGATTCTGCGTCTATTTTCTATATGCCAATTTCTATATGTATATTGGTATGTTGTTGTTTTAAAATAATGTATTAATTTACTTACTTGTTCTCAAAAGGTTTTAAACATATAATCAGTAATGTTAAAATTATTATTATTTATTGGACTTTCTATATTTTACATTATTAAAATGATTTATGTTTTTGTTTTTTGTTTTATGAAAAAAATAAAAATAATAAAAATAAAAAAAATAAAAAAATAAAAAAAAAATAAAAAAATAAAAAAAAATTTTAAAAATAGATTTTTAAAAAAGCCATTTATTTTTTTATTTGAAAAAAAAATAAACCAAAATATTATATCTGAAATATCTTTATTTATAAAAAGATAAAAATTATTTTTTAAAAAAAAAAAGCATCACTTATTTTAATTTTTTTTTTTTTTTTAATTTTTTTCGAAAAAAATAGCCATTTTTGGATAATTTCTTCCCGGTTCTTTAAAAAAAGATAAAAGGAAACGATAATTTTCGAACTCTATACATTGGTAAATTTGTTATAGATAATTAGTCTGAAAAAATAATTTTAAACAACAAGATGACTTTTTAAAATTAAATAAACACATTTAGTAAAAAAGAAAAAAAAAGATTTAAATTTATTTAAATGAACATCAAAGCAAAAAAAAAAATAAAAGAAAGTAAAGTTTTTTATTTTTTAATTAATTGATCTATTTTATAATTTCTTTATTAAACCTATATAAAAATTAATATTATTATTTTATATTATTAATATGGTCGCAAAAGTTGTTAACGTTTATCTGTTCTGAGATAGTTCCAAAACTATTTGAATTCAAGTTTGGTAATGATTGTATATTACCAATTAAAATTCTTATTCTTCTTCTAAGGGAACTTGATAAAATTAGAATGTAGCCCCTCGGTAATAGTAATTTCTTTGTTACACTTCATATTTTCGTCTATATGAAGTGCATTTTGTGAGGTTGATGTTGGTGGCTGGGCTTGATTTTGTCTAAATCTTTGTATTCTTCTTTCGATGTCAATTAGCCTCATAATCATTGTTATTTGGTCCCCTTGGTTTAGTCTATTTTCAATGTTTATTAAAAATCTTAATCTCTCAGCGTTACACCTCGAACCACTTTTTTTTTTTTTATATGAAAAAAAATAAAAAATTACATATAAAAAAAAAAAAAGTGGTTCGAGGTGTTATCAATATTTAATTAAATATAATATTTTTTATTTATTATTATGTTTATTATTTATTGTCCTAAAAAATTTATTATTATTTAAAAAAAATGTTTATTTAAATAAATAAATAAAAAAAAAAAAAAATTATAAAGTTATAGTTTAAAAAAAAAAAAAAATTAATAAAAAAAAAAAATGATTAATTATATAAAAAAATATAATAAAAAAAAATTTATTATTTTATTATATTTTATTTGAAAATTTAATGAATTAATAGGATATTGAAAATATTAAAATCATTTGATGTTCCAATATATTTGCCTGGCCAGGGAAAATGTATTTCTTCCATCAAATAGATTGAATTATTATATTCTATTATTATTTATTTTTTTTTTTTTTTTTTTTTTTTTAAAATTATTAATTATTATTGATTTACTAAATGTTCTTTTCTAAAGCTTTAAGGTTGATGATACAGCTGCTGATGAATGCCGATGCTGATGCTGAAGAATGCTGATGATGATGAATGCTGATGATGATGATAATGCTGAGGACCAAGATGAATGCTGATGGTATTAAGACTTTGGAACAAGATGAATGCCGGTGAGGATGCTAATGATGATGATAATGCTGAGGACCAAGATGAATGATGATGATGATAATGCTGAGGACCAAGACGAATGCTGATGAGGATGTTCATGATGATGAGAAAGAAATTTAATTAACCAATTGGCACAAGGAACCGTAATGGAATTCTGCAAAATGTGAAAGCAAAATACCATGGTCGCTTTTCTTACTTGGAGTAATTTCTGTTACAAAATTACTTTGGGTTTCGACTGAAGAAATTATTGAAATATTAATTCTGAAAATTTCTGCAGCAGCGACTAATGTAAGGTGGTCACCCCATGTACCATTTTTGGACATATTATTACAATATTGGTCCCAACTAGTTGTTGTGACAAATTCAGAGAGAGTGGCTCCATTAGAAAGGGAAAAACCTCTATTTTTTCTAAGCCAGGTTACAATAATATTTCTTATTGCTCTGCTATGGTTCAAGTTACCATAGAGTTGGTCTGATAGCGCATGCATTTGGCAATTACCATCACCTGGGATTTCCCTTCTTTCCATCAACTGATAAAGTTCCAAACGTTTATTTAAACGTTTATGGGCCTTTTCAACTTCACTCAATTGAGGTGGTTGAAGGCATAGCTTACCAAAAGAATTGACCAAAGCTTTTAATAGATCTTTAATCTTTTGAGAAGTATTTTTTTGTAGTTGATGTGGTGGTTGTCTCTTCTGTGGTTGTTGTTGTGGTTGTGGTTCATCTTCTACTACATAATCATTAATTTTTTTAAGTAGTAATTTATAACCAGGGGTTGAAGCTGTGTGCTTTGGTTTTGGTTGTGGTTGAGTTTTTGGTTGTGGTTGTTGTTCTTCATCTTCTACTACATAATCACGAATACTTTTAAGTAGTGATTTATAATTAGGAGTTGAAGAATTGAGTTTTGGTTGTTGGTGTTGTTGGTTTTGCTGGCTTTGTTGATGATGTTGGTATTGTTGGTGTTGTTGATACTGTTGGTATTGGTGTTGTTGATGTTGTTGGGGTTGGTGTTGTTGGTGTTGTTCTTGTTGTTGGGGTACCTGGTTTCCCCAGATTTCGTCCTTACTGACCTGGCAGTCGACATTTTCATAAACCCCTTCTTTGACGATTTTTTTTTTGAATATAAATAAACCAATACCAAATGATAAACACAAACTGATGGTAGCAACAAAAATTAAATAAAAATACATATATAAAAAATTATCCATTTTTTTTTACAAAAATAAATTATTTTTTATAAATAAAAAAATACTAGATACAAAAATATAAAAATTATTTACAAATAAAAAAAATAACAAAAAAAAATAGGAAAGAAAAACAAAAAAATATTTACAAAACAAAAAAAATATTTACAAACAAAAAAATATATATATAAATTATTTACAAATAAAAAAAATAACAAAATATTTACAAAACAAAAAGAGATATAAATATAAATTATTTACAAAAAAAAAATAAAAAAGAATAAAAAAGAATATATATACAAGTGTGGAAACGAATGAATATTATTATATGGGTGTGATTGTAAAAAAAGCTGATGGATAAAAAATTATATATGTGTGGTATGAAAGCAATAATTTTTAAAAAAAAAAAAAAAAAATTTTTAATATACTATTTTTTAAAAAAAATTAAAAAATTTTTAAAACAATTAAAAAAAAAAAAAAAAAAATTAATTATATAAAAAAAATAATAGTCGGTAAATCAATAATCAGTCCTCAGTTATTAGAAGCCTTTAAGAAAGCTAATATTAAAACATTTTATAAAAATTAAAAATCAAAATTGTGTCAAACCAAAGG